AAAAAAAAAAAAGAAAAACGAAAATGGATGTTCGCAACAACATAAAAGAAGTTTACCTTATTCAGCTCCTCATCTTCATGATATTTCTCCTTGATCTTCTTCGTTTTCTTTTTGTTTTTGTCCTTTTTCTCTTCTTCATCGTCTTCTCCTACATCTTCGATCTCGCCCTCCTTCTTTTCCTTCGCATCCTCATCCTTTTTCTCCTCTTCCGCCTCATCGTCGGAAATCTCCTTGTCTCTCTCTTTCTCTACAGTAAGCTTGATTGGGTATCCAATAAACTGTGAGTGTTTCTTGACAATCTCCTTGATGCGGCGCTCCTCAAGATATTCCAGCTGGTCTTCCTTGATGTGAAGCGTGATCTTGGTGCCACGTGTAAGTTCTGGATCGACCACCTGTCGCACAATAAATGAGCCTGCAACTCATTTATGTCATTTACGGCTGTGACATTACGGCAGAATCACGTGGGCCTGTATGAAACACTCACAGCTTTTCTGAAAAGACTCAGATGTCTTGGTGTATTCCCATTCGATATCAGTAATCCAGACGTTAGTCAAACCTGTTATTTGTACGAAAATCAACTCAACAATCTGCTTTCAGAACATGTTGTTTTTCTCCTCAGCTGCTTTGCGACTATTTTTTAACTACACTGTCGAAATTACAGCTTTAGTGGCAGCAGCAGTCTGGTAATCAGTCTCCAGATGTATTTTATACTTGTGCAGTTTTCTATTTATACTGCTACTACACACTTTTACTTCTGTAAGATGGAACTTGCCCAGTACGGCAAGCGATTTCTGCTGAATTCCGACCGAGGGAAGGAACATCAACAGTGGCCGTCACCTGGGTTGTACCTCATTTGACAGTCAGGAACATTTGACCGTTCACGAAAACGTGCTAGGCACTACGGTACAGAGAAGACAGAACGGATAAATGGCAAATCCAATGCAAAATGGTGTATCCAACACAAAAATAGTTACCGCCAGCAGACGATTCCCACTGGTAGCAGTCATCGTCGTTGTGCTTCGAAGCCACAATAACTTTGTCCGCCACCAAAAACGCCGAGTAGAAGCCTACTCCAAACTGGCCAATCATTGATATATCAGCGCCAGCCTGAAACAATGTATGCCTTAAAAAAATTAGACCACTTGGCGATGTGGCCATTACCATTAACTTCCCAAGGACGAATAAGACTTTTATCTGTACGCAGGTCTAAATAAAAATCACACTTAAATAGACTGGCTAATCATAAAAAACCAACTAACCCTTCACGCAGCAGTGGATGACTCACTCTACTCAACAGCATTTCACAGACCCACCGCATATGCACCTTATGCCCCTTTTACTTTCATCATTCTGACGTGTCTATTTCGAACAAGACATCCAACGAAAAGTTTGACGATTCAGAACCATCATTTCCGAAAGTGCTCGACACGCCAATTACTTAGAGCAGCTCACTGGTAAGTCAAAAAAATCTCTTCAAATAAATTTCGCTGCACTACTCCCTCTAAACTGTAACATGACTGACTTCTCCTACTCGTTAATAATCAAGCGAAACAACGACACGTCACTGCCTTAACAACTCCACATGACTATTATAGCGGCACAAGTTGTTTGAATATACAAACGGAAGGCTACTCCATCAATGCGATCATGTGTTTTGTGCAACTCTGTCCAAGGGGCTCTGCTGTTACAAGTATTCATTGCTTTACTATCTGATACATATGGGAATTTTTAGGGTCCCTGAATCACTAGTTCGCACCAAAACTTTTATGTGCCGGTGTGTAAGAACTAGGTGTGTGCTGGAATTCCTATACAGGCAGGGAGTATTTTCCTAATGCTTCAGCTTCACAGTTTTTTTTGTTTACGGATTTCTTAGATTTGACACCAACACTTTCACGTAGCCGCACAGAGGTAGATGTGCACGAGGACTGAATCTGCATACCGGCAGAGAATATCCCCTCAAATTTTCAGCTCCCTAACTTCTGTGGTTCACAAGCTGTTGATTTTGGCACCAGTACCTTCACTTGTCTGCACATGAGTGAAGGTACTGGCGCCAAAATTAATAACTTGAGATGTCACGTACATCTACGTCCTACGTACGAGCACGTGAAAACTTTGGAGGGAAGATCGCTAACCCGGGAGCGAGAAAAGCCAGAAAGTTGAAACTTTAGGGGAATTTCCCCTGCTCATGTATGGCCAAAAGACTTCAAATTTAGCTCCCTAGACCGCCCGGGACACACGTACGAACACGTGAAAGTTTTAGCGGGAAAATTTCTGACTCGAGAACGAAAGGAAACTAAAAAACCAAAAATTCAGGTAAGTCACAGTGATTTCTTGCGGTCTCGCTATAACATGAAATAGTGCAAAAACGCATGACAGCACTGGCCCGCTCGGTGCGTTCCAGCCTGAGGTTTTTTTTTGCTTTTGTCCATAGGTCTGGATTCATCGATTTTTTTCCGCTTTTATTCACAAGCTTAAGTTCGCTTTAATCTGATTTTCTTTGTAATGCTGTGTTGTCGTTTCCTTTTACTTCCCTCCCCAACTCTTGCCTAGAGCTCCCAACTTGTTTCACTTCCTCTCTTCATTCTGCCCCAAATCCTGCTCGCAATGCAACATCTGAGATCCTCTTCATCCTCACTA